CAGGGCCAAGAGGGTTATCATACATATGGTCTGCACCTGGAGTGCGCACCTACTGGCCCAAAGCGAGGGACAGTGCTGAAACAGTGCCCAGCCTCAGCAAACTAAGGGCAGGTGGGATTCAGCGTTTAGAGCCCCTCACAGCAGTCTGGCGAGTATGCAGCTATTGGAGCTTGACCAGATCCAACACACACCCAGGGGTAAAAGTAAAATTGAAAACTTACCGGTACTGGGGCCGGCTCCACCCCCCCGGAAGGGATGGGGCCTCAGGCAGAAGGGGTGGGGCTGGGGGTCAGCGTCCCCCAGCCAGCTGTTCCAGGCTGCCTGGCCCACGCCGCCCAGGGCTCCAGCGTCGATTTAGAGGACCCAGGGCTCCAGCTGTTGCTGCCGCCCATACTGCCTTACTTTCACCCCTGCACACACCCATCTTCTTTGTTTGGGGGGGATCTATTGGTAAGTGCCCATGCTCTGGAATCTAACTCCCAGTGGTTCCCTGCTAACTGTGCACTGTGCTTTAGGCGGTGCCACTCCCTGCTGACTTGTTTTTTCTCTTGCTCGCTGCCTAGGGTGAGGGCATATCCTAACTCCCATCTTTGTTATGATGGAAGGGAGTGGCACCCTTAATTACAGACTGCCCAAAAAGGGATAATGGGAAGTGGCCATTTGGTTTCTTCAGAATAACTGGGAAAGGGGAGCACTCAAAAGCAGGCTGTGGTGAGGAATTAGAGGCATGTAGGTTATTGGGCCCTGAGGGTTTGTGGGAAAGAGGGGTGTCCTCAGTGATTGTGCCATCCCATTGATGGCTCAAATCACAGAGCAAGCCATCTAGGCTTAGCCTACTTTCATCCCCTTCCAGCAGATGCTTGGGGGTGGGGTCAGTTTTGGGTAATGAACACAGCTCTTATCATTCGATAAATCTTTTTTTTTTTCATGGTTCTTGCATCTGCATGAATCTAGATATTATTCTCTCCCACAGTCTTGCATGACATCATAAATTATTCCTGACACTCCCCAAGAAATGTAAAAAACTAATTGCGTCCAAGTTATTTTTTTTTTTTACTAGGGTCTTAATTGCATCTCTTAATGCAACAACAAACTGCATTCCTAACTTGTAAGGATGTTGCCAAGAATAAATGAAAAATGCTTTAAGGCAAAACAAACAGTGCTGTGTGGTTTCATTCCAAACAGTATTAGTTAAAATGAGGGCATGAACACTGATAAAGATGTTAATAATTAGAAGCTGCACGTTAAGCTTTATATGGTGAAAGAAATGTGGTGGGTCCTGCCATGAGAGAGACGCCGACTCTCGTATTAAGGGCAATGTAATCCTCTGGCCTGAGCTCATGTGTAGAATGTCCAGCCCAAGACCTGGATCCTAACAACCTCGATTCAGACCTTGATCCAGCTCTAAACTGCTCAGGACAGTCTTCGGAGTTACTGTGACTTTGATTTTAATAACAAAGTTCAAAGTTCAGTTCAAGAACATTCTGTCTCCTCTTTTTCCTTTTAATGCGCAAGAGTGGACTGTGTTTTGGTGGTATGGTGAGGACAGTGGCTCTACCAGAGCATTAGAAAGCAGGCAATTCGCACTCTGATCAAGTTGGGGTTTTTTTGAGTGTAGGAGTAATGAGGAGAGCTGGTGGAAGCAGGCCCCATTAGGAAGTGAGGAACCTCTCTAAAAGCTCTCCCCAGGTAGATGGACATAGCAATGTTTTGGAAAAAGCTTGGGGCCATGTAGGGGGAGTGACTGTGTTGTGAAAGAAGACACTTATTTTTCATTAAAGCCCCATGGATTTTTAGTTTAGTTTTGTTAAAGCTGGTTGAGACTTAAAATGAGAGAATGAAGACATATAATTAGTTAAAATGGGTATGGTGGGAAAAAGGGATTACCTTTTTAAAAGTCAGTAGCCGTGAAAAATAGGGATAAAATATGAAGTGCTTAAGGAGAAGCTGGATCAAACCCTTGCTTGCAATTGAGCATTGATTTGGAGCAGTGTTTCCCGAACTTGGGATTCCGCTTGTGTAGGGAAAGCCCCTGGTGGGCCAGGCCGGTTTGTTTACCTGCCCCGTCCGCAGGTCCGGCCGATCGCGGCTCCCACTGGCCATGGTTCGCTGCTCCAGGCCAATGGGAGCTGCTGGAAGCGGTGCCGGCCAAGGGACGTACTGGTTCATGTTATGAAGAAATTATTGTATCGGGGAATGCCACTATATGAATGTGGAATCTACCATTTGCTGACAAGGGACATAGCACATCCCTACCAGACAGAGGTGACCATGTGCCCCCCCACCCACTCCCCAGATTTCTGCCAGGGTTTATATGCCCTGCCCTGAACTCTGCTGCATGCCACCAGCATCTTTAAATTGTGGACCCCTCACTATGAACAGATATGCGTCATCTCTGCTACCAGAACAGGGACAATGGAGAGTAGTTAACCTTAACGAACTATGCTCTAACTCAGGTTCTCAACCTATTTACCATTGTGGGTGCATCCAATACTACCTGTATGGTCCTGAGGATGTCACATGAGTTGCAGCTGTGTGCTGGTTGGGCCGCAGGTTGAGAACCACTGCTCTGACTGAATATGGCGCGAGGGACATACTGGCCGCCGCTTCAGCAGCTCCCACTGGCCTGGAGCGGCAAACCGCGGCAAGTGGGAGCCGCGATCGGCCGGACCTGCGGATGGGGCAGGTAAAGAAACCGGCCTGGCCAGCCAGGGGCTTTCCCTACACAAGCGGCGTCCCAAGTTTGAGAAACTCTGCTTTGGAGGAAAGCTGTCTTGGTAACCTACTGTTCTGTTATTGGGTTCTCCCAATTGACAAGACGGTTCTCACATGCTATATGCATAAAACTGATAGGTAACAAGTTTTGGAGGTTCAGCTTGAATAAGATCCACAATTTCAGATGTTTTGACCACTAAAGTACCTGACTCTCTCCAGTCTGCAAAATATGTTTGGAAATATCATGTAACCACATTTACTGGTTCTTCCTGTTTTTTTGGTTTTGCTCAGAATTGGGAAGTGAGGAGGGATGTGAAAATGAGAAGTAAGGGGCTTGCTTTATTTGAACTTCTGAATTGGTTTGTCCCTTTCTGATGCACACTCCTGTGTCCTCCTGATTTGTCATCTTAGGGTACGTCTATACTTACCTCCGGGTCCGGCGGTAAGCAATCAATCTTCTGGGATCGATCCCGGAAGTGCTCGCCGTCGACGCCGGTACTCCTGCTCCGCAAAAGGAGTACGCGGAGTCGACAGGAGAGCCTGCCTGCCGCGTGTGGACCCGCGGTAAGTTCGAACTAAGATACTTCGACTTCAGCTACGTTATTCACGTAGCTGAAGTTGCGTATCTTAGTTCAAAGTGGGGGGTTAGTGTGGACCAGCCCTTAGTAATTACCCTTCTTTCCATCCCTCCCCCCCACTTAACTTTACAAACCCATAATATTTCAGTATGTTAAGGTAGAGAAAGAAACCTTGCCTCAACAATGACCATCAGTCTCACAGAGCAGATTAACTCATATAAACAACTTGAGTGCTAGCCACTTATCTGGCTGGGTAAATCAACACTCTAGTTCACACATCTTTGAGGCATGAAGATGGATTAAAACTCCATATGGCCACTAAAGTTAGAATGTAAAGTAAATTACTTCCAAGATTTGTATGTAACAAGAGTCTTAGGAGACAATAAAAAAGAGATAGGAAGAAATAAAGACAAGGCAAAATGAATCCAAAGAGAGTCTTTGATTTGGGGACTAATGCCTGACATCTGTAACTTCCAGTTTCCTAGAAAATATATGTTAAAAATATAACATCATTTTCATTGTAATCCAAATTTATATGCAATATGAAATAAAACAGGTGAATAAATTTTACAGACAGGAGATACGTTTCCTTCTTTGAAAAATGTATTCCTCACTGACCTGTGGAGAGGCTATTCATGAACAACTTCATCAGGAGATAAGCATTTGCTGTACAGTTGGAAGAAAACTATTGCATCAGCTCTAGCTCTCCAGGACTGCAGCATAAAAAAACCAAACAGGCCTGAAGTGACTTTGAGTTACAGTGGGTGACAAGGGGAAAAAAAATAGCCGCTGCCTACAGTGGTATAGAATACTGGGATTAACATATATACTGCAGTAAAGTCATATAATGTGACATTCTAAGTGTGGGATATGTGTGTGTGTGTGTTATGTGACTTCTGCTTAACTTGTCATTACATACTTAAAATAAATGTTCAGTTCCAATGGATCCTACAACAGGTCAAAGGTGAAGATTAAGTTAACCATGAACTGGACCATGTTGAAGTAGAAAGTTAGAGTTTACATAAACCTGTTCATCTCTGAGCCAGAGATTTGCATGGGTTTGCAATGGTGAAATATAGTTAAAACTGAACTACACTGCAGCCAATCAGGACACTCAATTTAGGTATGCAGTTTGATTGACTGACATTGCTCCAGACCTCAGTCTTTACCTCTGTTGGTATATACTCAGTGACTTACCACAAGACCGCTTATAGCCAAAGAGGAAGCAGGAGTTGTTGCACTCTCTGAGGGTTTGTCTTCACTGCCTGCAGAAGTGTGCCTCCCAGTCTGGGTCAATAGACTCGGGCTAGCAGGGCTCACTCTAAAAATTGCTGTGTAGATAGCACTTTGAAGTTCAGTCTTGCACGGGAGCTCAGGCTCTGAAGCCCAAACACCACCCTAGATTTCAGATCCTGAGATCCAGCCCAAGCCACAACTCCAAAGCACTGTCTACACAGCAGTTTTTAGCATGATCCCCGCTAGCCCGAGTCAGTTGACCTAGGCTGGGAGGCTTACTTCTGCAGGCTGTGTAGATGTCCAATATACAAAATGAGACCAGAGCTTTGTACATATGTTGTTAAAAATAAACGAAAGCTTTTGGTTCACCTGTTTTTGTCTAGTATGTTGGCTGTAGATAAAGTTCATATGCGTATTTTAATGTTCATACATTTATCAGTGCAGTAACTGTTTTATTTTATCTTCCTTTAGAAACAGAAACCAAAGTCTCATAGGCCCAGGGAAATATGGATATGGAAAAGTGCCATATATATTACCACTGCAAACTGACACTGGGCAACTGCCTCAAAAAACACGGAGGCAGCGACAGTCAACAAGGAACCAAGCGTATGAGCAGAATCAGGGTCTTGGGAACACACACAATCATCCATCTAACCCTTCAGTTCAACATGGGAATCTTTACCAAGAAGAACGTGGACCTCAGGTGTTGGGGCCCTCAATTTATCAGCAGGCTTCAACCCATTCACAGGCCTTTCCTGCATCTCAAAGTTTGTTTCATGGGACTGACTCAACCCACCATGGCTCTGCATCCCGCCAGCCCTTCCAAGGTCAACCTCACTCTCCAAGGGCTGGAGCTATTGTGTGCATTGGAGCCTACAAGCAGTACAAACTCTGCAACACAAATGTAAGTCCATTCTTTTCTTTCTCAATTTTAAAGACAGCTCCCTGAGCATGCTGGATTTCTATTCTTCCTGTGGCTTAAAATCAAAAGATATATATTGATCTTATTAACTATGGGAAAAAAATCCCTTCATTCTGTTAGTTAGTCATGGAATAAAAGAACCCACTGTATGTTAATTTAAGAGAAGAGTGGCTTGGGGGGATGTCCATAGTTGCTATATAATCTACCATTTGCATAGCAGCATCCATCCCAGGGGTATCAAATGGTTGTTAAATCTCACACACCGGTGGTATAAGTATGATTCCTGTTAGATAGATGGGGAAACTGAGGCACTGACTTTGCTTCACAGACAGGAGTAGGCAGAGAATAGGATGGAATTGGTAGTCAGGTTTCCCAGTCCCACGCTCTACCCACAAGACCACATGGCCTTTTTGTGACAGACCTTCCTTTTTGCCACATTTGGGAATTCATATACCCCAAACTAAGGTTTCTGATTTTAGGTGCCTATTTTTAGGGTAAATTGTGGCTTTTTTAGGAGTAAAAATCTATTGTATTAGAATTTTTTTTAAATAACATTTTTCTTAAAGCTGTTTTAAAATATTTGGCTTTGGTGCTACTCTGTGTTCTGGGATGACCTCCCAGTTAGTTGTATGAGACCTCTCAGGGTCTGCTCTTCTGCTCCACAAACAAATTTCAACATTGTAAGAGCTGTAATTTTTGGCTGTTTTTCTTGAAAATTTCTTAAAACGTCTTTCTCCAATGTTTGCCTTGGCTGGGTTTTATCAGTGTTTAACCTAAAACAAGAGGCCTTCTCCTTTCCAGTCTCTAGTGAATTAATATTGTTGACTTCAAGAGCCATGTTATTTGGATATTAATAATGGGTTTTTTCTAAAGTATTAGTGCTGTTGTATGTTGATGTAACAGAGAATTGGGCCTTAGGGTGCATATGTGAGTCCTAATCTGCCTTTATAGCCTTTGGGCCTTTTAAAACTGGGAGATGTAGTCATGGGGCACATGACTAGGGACAAGCATCTGACCTTCAGGAAGCCAGATGGACACTTCCTGTCTCTTAGGTGGGGGCAGGAGAGACCCAGTGTCAAGGATGCTTTGCTGTATGTTTCCCCATCAGTAGGCAGGAAAAAGTTACCAGAGGAGAAACATGTGTTTCCCCTTTCCCAGTTATGGCAGCCAGAGACAGCAGGAAGAGTCTCTGTTACCAAGTGTGTTGTATGATTTTGAACCTTTTTTGCATTTTCTGTTAATTAATAAACTTGCATTGGGGAAAAGGACGTGGAATGGAATTTGAGTGTTTGGGCTTTAATTTGAACTGCCGTGGCTGGTGAATCTGCACACTGGTGCACAGGTAGGGTAGTAATACATCTCAGTCAGTCGTGTAATTGAGAGTAACAGCAGGTAAACACAGTTTATCACTTCTCTTTGGGGAATATGGAGTTTAGCTTAGATTAGTTTACCCAATTTTTTTTTTTTTTTTTTTACCACTACACCCTGATCCCACTGGTTCAGTACCTCTGCTATGTGCTTTTGTAACACAGCCCTTTCTAAACCCTGTGTTACACTGGTGTCCAAGACTCCAGTTTCTGTGGTGAGAAGTTCTGCTTCTAAATCCTTTTTAGTTGTTTTTCTTTGTAGTAGGTCCTTGCTTTCTCAGCTCTGAATCCTGCTTCCCCTTGTTCTTCCCTCTATTTCAGCCCCAGCCATATCAGGGCAGGAAGGAACATAATCATCATCCTCATCACTACACATAAAGCATCAGAAGGGGTTTTTCAAGAATGGTCTCTTTACAGGCTTCTCTGTGGAAACTTCTGTTTAGTCAACACTATAACCAGCACCCTAGTTAAGGATTATTCTGTATTGTACACAGCCCTGCCAGACACACGAGACATGGTCCCAGCCCAGAGGAGCTTAGAATCAAAACCAGGCTGACAAATGTGATACAGTGGATAACAGCTCAGACCTAAGAAATGGGGGGGGGGGAGGGATAGCTCGGTGGTTTGAGCATTGGCCTGCTAAACCCAGGGTTGTGAGTTCAATCCTCGAGGGGGCCACCTAGGGATCTGGGGCAAAATCAGTACTTGGTCCTGCTAGTGAAGGCAGCGGGCTGGACTCAATGACCTTTCAGGGTCCCTTCCAGTTCTATGAGATAGGTATATCTCCATATATGAAATATATTAAGAAGATGGGTTGACATCATGGAGATCAGAGTTGGAAGGTTCCATTAAAGAAGTGAGGTGTAATGAGGGATCTGGAAGAGGAGTTTGCAAGATGGATGTGAGACAGACTATTGCAAATATGGAAAAAGATGGTGAAGGGCAAAGTTGGAAGAGAGGACTGTGAGGAGACTTCTATCCTTATTATTATTATTATTATTATTATTATTGGTAATGCACACAATATGCAAGGGGCTTTCCAAACTCAAAAGAAAAGCAGTTTTCTATTCAAAGGGGTTACTAGAGTAGTGGAGAGAAAGGGAAAATCAGAGCAGAGATTAGGTGGGGGTGAAAATGTTTACAGTAAAGCCATGAAAACACGTGCAAAGATCTTGATTTTACTGTTTTGAATTATATTAAGATCATGACGCAAAGCAACGAGGTGGGTGATGTGGATTGAGTGGCATGAGGGGAAGATGGTTACAGCAGAAATATTTCAGATAGAGTTGAAGGTGATTGGAGAGGGAGTTAAAAAGGAGGAGATGACAGTAGCTAAGAGGAGCGATCAAGGCATGGACCCAATGTTCTAATAGTGGGGACGATGAAGAAGGGTCATTATAGAGGAAACTTGGCAAGAGGTGCCATCCAGGGAGTGGGGTGAAGAGAAAGTTGTAAATGTGGGCTTGGGAGAACAGTGAACATGTTAGCACTGATGGAGAAGGAAAGGAGAAGTTAGCTCTGATGAAGTTTTGGATGGTGGCAGGACATATAGTTCAGTGTAACTTAAATATGTTTCAGTGTTCGTGGGGGAGCTAGAGTGAATATGCATTCACAGTAAATAATTTAAAATTTTGAAGCTACATTTAAGGATAGGACAGCAACAGGATACCAACCCCCGCGCGTCCCCCCCCCCAAAAAAACCCAAACGTGTGAGCATATCCCCATCATTTCCCTGCACCTCTGAATGTAATCAAATTCTAAAGAAATGGGTATGACTATTCAATGATCTTTTTAACAAGAGAGAAATTGCAGATGATGCAGCTAGAATTTTAAGTCCTTGCAGGCACATAGCCCTGTATTCTGATGATGAAGTTCTCAGGAACCGAGTGGAAGCTGTAATTGCCATCAGGGATCAGTTTCCCCTAGGATGTGGTATTTAATAGTTATAAACAATAATTAAGTAGGAGCAATCATAGGAGTCAAGGCCAGACCAGAGCAAAGCAAAGCTGATAGTGTTTGTCCTTATTTACTTGTTCTTCCTGTCTCTCCACTTTTATATATGGACTTCGATTTAATTTATCTTCAGTAACGTGTTCCAGAGCTGCTGCTGGCATCTAGAGAACACTAGCTTCTTTTTTCTTTTCTTTTCTTTTCCTTTTTTCTTGTGTGTTCCAAGAGGTAAATATAATTTATCAAGGGGGAAAGATTCTATTAACTGGTACCCCGGTGTTTGGTTTCTCCTAAGGGTAGTTAATTAATTACAAATTAACTCAATCTGCCTTGGCCTGTTAGGTCATTTCCTCATCATTGTGCATTTAATGTGCTTTCATTTATAGCTGAACTCGTTTTGCATGACTGACAGCTTGGTTCATAAAAAGTTAAGCTTATAGATTTTGGTTAGTGAGAGGCTGGGAAGAGCTTCTATTTGTTGAAGTGTTTTTGCAGATCACGAAACTCATTTTCTCATTGTACAAATGGCTTCATCTCTTCAGCACTCGCATGTGTGTTTCCTGCCAGTCAGCCAGCTGATGGCTGAGCAGTCTCCCTGATCTGCCTGCTGCGCTTCCAGACTTCCCATGTTGCCCACCGCCATGGGACACTAGGCTGCCTCGCTCCCCAGATGCCTAGCCAGATTGAGAGCTGGCTGGCTCCTTGCCCAGAATTTTTTGAAAATTTTTCCATTCTACAGAAATTTGCATGTGAGGCTTTTTGTTCTGATTCAGAAAAAACATTTTTTTGGAAATGTACAATTTTCCGTGGGGTGGAAATTCTGTTTCCTGTATTGCTTTGTTCACTACCAACGCAGGGGTGAGGTGAAGATGTATTCATTAATATTTGTGGGATACAAAAAGTGAGTGGGAAGGCATGTAAGTATGTCAGCAAGAACTTTGTTATTAAAAACTCTTTTTGTTTGGGACATCTGTGTACCTTGTTTTTACTCATTTTGAGTGTTGCGTGGGCTCTGTATTTGATATAATTTCAAAATGAGGTTAAGATGATCTTTTTCCAAGGAATTTAGCTTTGACTCTAGTTTGGGAGTTTCCTTTTGAACAGTGTAGGATTGTATGTGCATTTAACAGTTTGACATTTCTAGGTGTACAGGAAAGCTTATAAGTTTACATTACTTTAGGCTGTACTGTGGTTTCTTTGATTCTTTGAGGTTTGGGGTGGGATTTTTTAAAGTATTAGCTCAAAGGTCATTAGTGTTAGTGGCAGAAGTAATATGCCAGCCATTGCTATGGGAATAACGGTTAAACGTTCTCCTGTTTGTACATCAGTTGATCATTTGTCCCTTCCATGTAGATGTTACCCTATATGTCACTCTTTAGGGTATCTTCACTGAAGATACTGGGCCAAATTAATTTCTGTTGTAACTCTATAGCAGTGGCTATAATGAGATTACTCCAGTGATAAACTGGGCCCACTGTTTTGAATCTCTTTTCCATATTCCATAGAACACAATGTCTTAGGCAGGTCTCATTAGAGTCTGACTAAATAACAGGGACTTGGCTGAGTTAAAACACTGGGGAAAATGTTTGCAGGGTTGCAGTTCAGAAGCCTTCACTTTAATGTGTTTTGTCTAACCTAAACTTGTTTCATAGCAAGTAGTGATCT